CTCAGTTTCTTCTCTGTGAGGCGGGGACACCAAAGGTGTCTGCCTGGTAGTGAGGAGTCGTTGGTATAATCCACGTGGACCGCTTGGAATGCTCCTGGTGCGTGCAAGGACTCAGTGCACGTCAGCTGCTGTCACATCAGGAAGGACAAGTCCCTGTCATTCCCCCCCCCAGCTGGGAACGCAAGTAAGGTAACAGACCAACAGGCTCGGGAGAGCTGTTTCCCTTTATGGCTCTCAAACCCGGCCAGGAGTCACAGTTGTGCCCATTTAACAGCGGAGGAGCCTGAGTCTCTGAGAACCCGAGAGGCGGGTCGCTCAGCCTGCCCAGAACATTCGCTTCCAGTCCCTGTGGCCCTGGCACCAGCTGTTTCTTGGGTGGAGGAGCCTTCGGTGCCACTGGGGGATCGAGGCGGGGGTCATCATAGAGCAAACGGGGTATCTTTTTGAAGTAGCGTCTCAAAGGGCCAGAGTCCAGCCCGAACTCGGGGCAGCTCATCTGAGCGGGGACAAAGGGACAGGGCTTCGCGAGGGAGTCCGGAAGGTGTCCGGGGCCAAGGCAGGGACGTGGCCCCGCGCGGGGGAGGCTTTGAGGTCGTGCTGAACCCCCCATCCCACTCGGGGTGAGCACCGCAAACGCACATGCAGCGCCCCCTGCGCAACGCACACCGCGCCGGGCGGACCCCCAGCCAGATCGCAGCCCGCGCTGCTGTCCAAGCCTGCTCCCCACGGTGGGGGAGGAGGCAGCCGCGGCCGTCCCACCTGGAGCCACAATCCCCTCCCGTAAAATGGGCAGCAAAGGCCGCCTCGCGGGGCTACTGCCCCGAGCCCACTCAGAGTCCCGGGTTTCGGGCCGTTCCTTCCGTCTGCCCCCAGCCAGGCCCCGAATTAAGAGCAGGCCGTTGAATTCGCTTTTAACTACCCCCAAAGACAGGTCTTGATTGCACCACCACCGCGAGCCAGGCTTTAGAGGCAGATTCCAAAGCCTCGGAGAAGCGTGGTAATTTGCTGGAGATCATCCTCCAGAGAGGCAGAGACCTGGGTTCCAGCCCTCAGGTTTGAGTCCTCGCCCTGCTCTCTTCTGGAGTCTCCAGGGAGGTACAGACACACACCCCCTTTGCAATTCGTCTCTTTTAAGTACTCACAATCAACGTTTAATGCTGGCAGTGCCAAGCATCTCACAGAATATTTCATTTTATACCCATAATAATACGAAGAGATTGTTACCACGATTCCACACTTTATATATGGGGGAAGTGAGGCTCAGAGAGGTTAAATAACTTGCACAAGGTCACACAGCTAATAAGTACCAAACTCAGGACTCATAAGACCAGATGGAATGACTCCAGGCAGGCGATCCGGCACCATCCTAAACGACAGTCGCTGGCTGCTTTTCGAAGCACAGCCTTTTCGGTTGGGAGTAGAGGGGCAGGGTGACGGGATGGACCCTCCAGATCTCGGCCCGGGTTCAGCTGAGCATGAGCAGGGCGTCGGATCTGATTCCCAGGAAGGCATTCCGAGACTCTGCGGAGGCAGGAGAAGGCGGGGGTTCATACGGGGTGGAGGGTTCCCTGAGGAGGAGTCCCAGGAGGAGGAAGAAGAGCTGAAGTCACCGCGGGGTTCCTGGCCCGGAGTTCCCAGCGCTCCCTCAGGCTCTTCTCGCTGCCTCCTACTCAAAGCTCTGCATCCGGGGATTGACTCCACGCACACAGGCGCCTGGGAGCCAGACTCGACGCACACCCCGCCCGGTCCCTCTCCCTGCAGCGTATCTCCCCCGGCCGCGCCCGCCTCTCCGAGCTTCGCGTCTCGCATCCTGTATTGACCTCCGCCGCCCAGTCTCCGCGGGGCTTCCCTAGGCCTCTGCCTGGGGTCTCTGGCTGCGGCTGAACGTCCTCAGGACATCTTTTCTCGGGGTTTATCTCCCTCCAGTCAACGTCTATCTCTAGGTCTTCCCCTCCAAGATTATGTGTGTCTGCCAGTGTCACCAGGTCCTGGGTGGCGGGACTCCTGTAGGGACGTTGGTGGGTGGCCGTGGGGGTCTCTGTTTGCCTCTATAAACTGGGGCTGTGTATTTATCGGGATGTGTGTTGATCGTGGATGTTGGGCGTGTTTGGTTGGGTGTGTGTTTTGGTTTTGTATGGACAGAGTGTGGAGCATATGTCCGTTGGGTGTGGTTGGGTGCCTGTGTTTGGTTGTACGTGTATATGTGATGTGTGTTGCATTGGGAGGTGTCGTTTGGGTGTGTGTATTTGTTGGCTGTATGTGTGTGTGGTTGGTGGTGTGTGCTGGTTTTGTGTGTGGTGTGCCTTGGTCGTACGTGTGTTGGTCGTGTGTGTGCGCTTGTGAATGCGCGCGTATGCGCTCCCCCTCTGTCGCGCAGGGAGCCTAGTCCAGCGTCGGGCACCGGCGCTGCGAAGAGCCTCCCGCGGGGCCGCGGGAGGGCGCTGTGGAGGAGGCAGGCCGGCGTGACCGGAGGATCCTCTTAGGCCTGGAGCCAGGGTGCTGTGCGCCGCGAGAGCAGTTGTCGAGTGCAGCGGAAGGAAATCCGAGAGTCTGGAGTGGGGACTCCAGGGTGCTCTGGAGAGTGGACTCTGGTGGTCGTGGTTGGGGTGGGGGGCCGGTTAAGGTGCCCCCCAGGGCGGCCGGCTGCCGGGCGGGGGGATGGTCCCGACCGCGCCGCCGTGCGAGCGCCTGGGAGGGCGGGGACGGAGCCGGGGAGGCCGCACGGCCCTGGGGGCCCGGCCAGGCCGGCGCCAGCCGCCAAGTTGAAAGGCGGCCGCGGCCTCTCCCTCGCCGCTTCCCATTGCGCCCCCGAGGGCTCCCGGCGGGGCGCAGGCCGGGGCCAGGCCGGGCTCACCTCCAGGCCGCGGGTCACCAAGGGGAGATCGTTCGATGAGGGGCCTGGGCCAGCCTCGAGGCCATAGTATTCGCACTCGTGGCCCCCGCCCCGGGGGTAACCGTCTTCCCTGGGCCTCCTGCTCAACCCAGGCCTTCAGCCCCGGGGTCAGTGAGCGGAGAAAGGAACCCCAAAACAAGGCGAGCAACCCCAATTAGCGCGAGCTCTCCGGCCCCACCCCAGCCTCGCAGGTACCCGACCGTCGGGGCCCGCCAACCCACGCCCAGAGCTCGGAGCGCCCCAGGTCCCTGCCGCCGGGTAAGCTCGTTCCCGCCCGGCTCCCACTCCGCGGACCGCCGGCCGCTTTTGGTCCTGCCAGCGTGGTCAGAAGCCGAGCTTGCGGACTGAGGCTTCTGTCTCCTACCCAACAAAAGGAAACGCCTTTACAGACAGCATGCGGGGCAGGTGAGATGCCCCTCTTCTTCCCCAGGGGACGGCGTTTGCCCGTGGTCAGGGCACGGACGAGTTAAATTCGTAGAGCTAGGGTCAGTTCCGCGCTGCCGTTTTCCAGCGACACGCACGCTTCGCTGGCCTTTTCCAGCCCCAAAGAGCCGTTCGGGCACTACGTGACCCCCAAGGAGAGGGAGCTGGGCAGTTCGGGGAAAGCGTGGACTCTGGAGTGGAGTCTTTGCTGGAATCCCCGCTCTGCCCCTTATTGGCTGTGTGACCTTGGGGAAATCACGTAACCTCTCTGGACCGCGGTCACCTCCCTTGTAAAAAATCTCCTAGAGTTGTTGGGAGGCGCAGCGGGGGCGGCGTGCGGGGGAACTCCTCCTGGCGCAGTAGGTGGCGACTCCGCGCGATTGATCCAGTGTTCCCTGCCGGAGAAGGAAATTGATCCGTAAAGGACCAGGCCCGGGAACCCCCTGCCCGCTCCGCCCTCGCTTGATAATCAAGCAACTGATTTCAAAGGACTGGGCTGGACCAGAAGCAGTGTCCGGAGCCCCGCCGCCAATACCCGCCAGACCCAGGTGAATGAGGCTCAGGGGCCTCACCCCACGTCAGCGCGCAGCTCCGATCCAGCAAACATTTATTGAGCACCCTCTGTTTGCACACCCTGTCGAGAGAGGAAATTTGGAAACAAAGGGGGGCCAAGAAAGGGCTAGACGAAAAGAAACAAAAATGGAAAAACTAGGGGCCATAGAAGTGGAAGAAAACCCGGACCCAAAGCTGGCAACGGGGGCGGAGGCGCGCGCGGAGGCGCGCGCGGGCGGGGGTCCCAGGGCGACGGCCCCTTCCACTCGGCTGAGGCGCTGGGGGAGCGAGGGGGAAGGGGGCCCGCCCGCCTCGCCTGCAGCTACCGCCTCGCTGGAGCCGCGGCGCGTCTGCAGAGCGCGAGCCGTTGCTCATTACGGCAATTATGTTGCTCTAAGTTTGCCTCGACCCTAAATTGCCAAGCTTCGAGGAGCCAGGAGGCCTGAGAGCTGGGGCTGCAGGAGACACCCGATCCCGCCCCGCCATTCCCCTATCCCGCACGCACGGAAAAGACTCCAGTGGTGCGTACGCACCGTGAGCCGAGAAATTTCACATTCACTCGGTATTCCCCCGGCGCCCTCCCACGCGGGGGCTTCGTTGACACTTCCCCAAAATCCTGGGGACGGGGGAAGGATTCCCAGGCCCACTTCGCAGAGAAGAAAACTGAAGAATGGAGAGACGGAGTGATCTTCCCTACCCGAAGTCAGGCAGTCAGGAGGTGGCAGGGCTGGGATGAACCACATCTGCCTCAAGTTCAATACTATCCCCAGGACAGGACAGGAGCCAGGAGTGTTCTAGAAAGGAACCCGAAAGATTTGTGGGAACCAGAGTGTCCTGCTCGCAGGCACTTGAGCTTAAAGGGGGGTGGGGGGAGGGAACCTTTCTGCTTCTGCAAGAAGCGGGGATGTATCTCAGCCCTCGAGCACCTTCAAAGGGCCGCCTGGGCGTTCAAGTCTGAGACCATTTTAGGGGTAACTCCCCCCTCTTGCGGACGAAGAAGCCCAGATGCGGGTTCTGGCCTCTTCTGAAAGCCCAGAGGTCGGGGGCTCCCCCAGACTGCTGGGCGCGACGAACTGCACTCCACAGCAAGCTTGCTTTCTTAGGAACAGGAGTTGTGACAAATTCAGACCGAACCTTTGCCGGAGCTACCGAGGCTGGAGGATCCGAGACCCAGGGTACCCCGGAACTTGTCCCGCGCCAGCTCAGAGCCCGTCCAGGTACCTGCGTGCAACCCGCGCAACCCTGGGCTCGCTTGGAATTCCTAGGCCGACCTCCGGCGCCTGGGGCTGGAAACCGCGCAGAGCGCCCCAGACTCGGTTTCCACACTGAGCGAAGGTCTCTATCCGTGGAGACGTCCACTCTCCCCAAGTCCAATGCCAGGTACTTCGGGTTCTAACAACCCTGGGTCTGCTGGCTTCATGTCTTAACGCCTCGCGGCAAAGGCTGCCCGGGTCTGTCCTGCGTGGAGTTGGGAGGCACCGGACAGCGTGAGACAGAGGCGAGGGAGAGGCCTGCGCAGATCTGGTGAGAATTAAGCTGGGGCCCCCAATTCGAAAGAGAACAGAGCGGTGCCTGCTTTATTGCTAAGAGGTCATTCTCTGCCTTCAACATCCTTGCAGAATTCCCCCTAGAAGGCCAAACTTGGCGCTCCTTCAAATATACTCTCCTGGAAGCCTGAGTTTAACCTACTTTATAGAAGAAAAATCAAGTTTGTGAGAGTTCGGAGGCAGGGCTCATGCAAAGGACACGCCAAGGCGGGAAGTGTATGGTCGCCTTGGGTTTTCAGTAAAGTTTTTTTTTCTCTTTAGGGGTCGTAATAGGGGGTGTGAAGGCGCTCACATTCTGGCAGCTCAAAATTAGTTCCACAAACCGCATCTACACCAGCGCCTGGACTTAGAGGAGGATAGCAATGCCTCCATCCCCCACCTGGCCTCCTGTGGGAAAAACAGGTTTGCGGGGGTGGGAATTGTCTGGATTAGCTGTCTGCAGTCATCAAACCATTTGGGTGATTCGCTTTGTTTTCATAGACAGGTTAAAAGGGGAGAAAAAAGAAAGAGTTGGTTATGGGTCGCCTCAGCAAGTGTCGATTTCAGCTTAAAGTGAATTGGAAAATTGAGCCTAATTATCCTAGGTAATTGCTTCAATTCTCCACTTGACTTTGCTAACGCAGATCTGTCCTGTGTGTTCAAAAAGACACCCCCCTCTGTCCCTGAATATCCTGGTGTTGTCTTTGAAAGTTGCTGCTGTAAAACTACCATCAGACTGAAAAGCAATTGTATATGTGAAGAGATGTCAAGAAGAAAATTCAACTAAAAGACTAAATCAGTAAAGAGATCATTTCTTGTAGCTTAAAATTAATTTATTTCACAAATATAGCTATAATATAAATGATAATAAAATTTCAAATATACAGTATATTACACACAATCCCTTCCAAAGGGATTCTTGAGAGCCACACAAATGTACTGTTAAATAGAAACAGAATTTTAAAATTTTTACAATTTTTTTCTGGTACTGGTAAGAGAGAGGTCCCTTCAACCTACCTTTGAAATACATCTGTGTACCTTCACCCCCCCCCAAGCAACTATTTTGCTATGGAAGTTCTCTTAAGTTTTCCAACAGAAGGACCTGGGGGGTCCCATCTCCTGGCATGCTCTTCTCTTTCTCTCCCACTGTTCTCATCTCCAAAATCTTCCAGCATGAATTTCCCTGTGCTTTTCCTGCCTGGTGTCAGGAGAAGAGGCAGAGATGCAGGAGATGTGGCCTGTAGTCCTGGTCCAACCAGTAACTCTGCTGGGGACCCTGGATAATCTTAACCTCTCTGGCCTCAGTTTCCCCATCTGTAACAGGAGGGGGTACATCTAGATTCTAGAGGAGTGTTAAGGGACTTTTCCAGCCACTTTTGGGGAGGGGATCAGACTTCGGAGAGCGAGTGAACTCAGGAAGCAACCAAGCAGAAACCAGAGCAGTGTGGGGTTAAAGGGCAGGAGCCAGGCGGTGCGGAACAGGGGAGCGGGTTGGGGGACAGCTTCTGCCGCTTGCTGAAGACCCGGGCTGGAGGAATCAGCTGGCACCACAGGCAGGCGGCCCCGGGCCCCTCTATGTCAGGTGGTACATGCTGTAGCCTACATGGGCTGTGTAGAGTCCCACGGGTGCCACGGGCAGCGCCGCGCGCTGGAAGGGGCCAGAGGCGCCATAGAGCGAGGCGCCCGCTGCGGCCGCTACGGCCGCGGGGCCGCCGAGCGGGAAGGAGAGGCCGAAGGCGGCCGGCGGCAGCATGGGCTTGGCGGCCATCTTCAGCTTTTCCAGCTCTGCCTCCTGTAGTCTCTTGGCCTTGGCGCGGCGGTTCTGGAACCAGATCTTCACCTGCGTCTCGGTGAGGCTGAGCGAGCTGGAGAACTCGGCGCGCTCGGCGATGGACAAGTACTGCTTCTGGCGGAACTTGCGCTCGAGCGCCAGCAGCTGCGCGGTGGTGAAGGGCGTCCTCGGCTTGCGGTTGGTCTTATGCTTTCGCAGCGTGCAGGCCGGGGGGCTCAGCCGCCCTAAGGGGCCGAGAGAGAAAAAGGCAGAGGGTTAAGCGAGCTGCTCGGGAGCGTAATCTGCCCGTAAAGTAGTAATAATAGTCAATAACAACATCAGCTATGCATTTTCGTCGAGTACCTCGGTGCCAGGCACTGTGAGAGACGCTTGGAAAATATTTTCTCCAATTCCCACAACCTTGCAGGGTAGACGTTCTTGTCTACACTTTGAAAATGAGGAAACTAAGATTCCGGGTGAAACACACTCATGTTCAAGGCCCGAAGGTAACTGGGAAGAGGTGGAGCCGCCCTAATGCTAGGTGGCCGCTTAGGAAGGCCTTTCACCGCGGGGCCTCCTCCCACCGCCACCACGTCGGGACGGTGGATGTTACTAAGGATGATGAAACGTGCAGAAAGGGCCCGGCACCCAGCCTAAGATCACATTTAGTTTTACGCGTTGGCCAAATATTTATCTGTGCCCACCAAGTGTTCAGCACTGGCTAGGCCTTTGTGTGGCACAGAATCCAGATCTATAAATTCCAAACTCTTTCCCTTGGAAGAGCGCGGCAGGGCAGGGTTCTAAGGGCAGTCCCAGGAGACCGGAGGCGGAGCAAAGGCGGCTGTCAGGAAGGTCATAACGCGGCCAAGTCTCTTAAATATATAAGGTGCCAGGAGGGTGGGGGGCTACATGCTAACAGGGCTGCTGCTTCTGATTGTCTCAATTGTCTCTTGGGCCTCTCCCACCCCCAGCGCCTTGGCCTTCTGGTCACACTCAAGTGTGTGTGGGGGGGAGGGGGGTCAGTGGCTTCTCCTCGACCTGTAGCTCAGTCCGCAAAGATCAACGGTGCCAAGCTGTCTTTTTCTTATGGCTTCAAAATATACCTCAAGGATGGGCGGGTGAGCGAGCACCCCCACAGTGGGCTCGCCAGCGCCAGGGCCTGGGTCCACTGGGCGAGTCAGCCCCTGCCACACCAGGAGACTGCGGCGGGAAAAAACGTGGAACAAATTATTGCCAGGACAACGGGGATCGCCCAGGCTTTGGGGTCCAGGCCCAGGCCCTAACTGAATTCCCAAGTCCTGGAAAGGACGCTTTGCCTGCGCAGCGGCTTCCCTCGAGAGGGGGGAAATGAATTCAAATGGAAAATGTTTCACCACGCGGGTTTTGCCGAATTATGCATTTTTTCAGGCATTTTTTAAATGATCCTTTGGGCTCTCAGGTCACTAGGATGTGAGTCAAACGAAATCTCGTGTTAACATCCCCCCTTCTTCCCCTCTTGAGGCCACTGAGAGTCCGGGAAGCAGTTGGCCCCCGACTCGCTTTCCGCCCGGCCACCAGAGGGGCGGGCGCCCAGCGAAGCGTCACTCCCTCGGCAGCGACAGCCCAGCGCAGGGCCACCTTCTCCGGCCATTAGGCCCAGGGAGGGGCTGGCCTTTCAAAGACGTTTAATCCCCAGATAAAAATCGTTCCTCAGCATCATGCCATTGAATTCGGGTTGCTATTATGCCGCGCAAAATAATCGGAGGAAACGAGGAAAACTTGGGAATTTCCCGTGCTCCTGAAATATCTCGGAGCGCGTTCGCTGGGCAGAGAAGCCAGGGGGCCGGGAGGCCTTGGAACGACCCCGAAGGCTCCTCTGGCGGCTGGAGTCCGCCTCAAGGGCTCAGTCGGAGACGTTTGGGCGCTTCCGAGCGCACTGGAGGGGGCGCCTCCCACTAGTTGACTTGGTGCCCCGCCCCCTCCACTGGAACCTGAGAGCCCCCTCCCCCTAAATGATCCGTCCGTCCTGAGCACCGAGAATCTGCCTGAAACTTGAAGGGGGAGGGGGAATTTTGCAAGAGCTTCAGATACTCTGGGCAGACAGATCCTTTAGTGGGGGGTGGGGGGGCAGTCTTCTATGAGAAACTGAAACTCTGCGCGCCGGGAAAATGTCCGCACCCCTCGGACCCCCCGGTTGGGGAAACCGCGAAGTAACAGGGCTTAGGGTCAGATGAGGAAGCAGGGACTTCTCGGGTCGATTGGTGGGGACAGGGAGAGATGGTGCCCAGACACCAATGTCCTAAAGTGAACTCCCACTCGAGTCGCCTGGCCAGGGCGAGGAGCCCTCAAAAGTGGACCGAAAGCTGGGCTTCAGCCAGGCCTCGAACCCTCTTCCTGGGTGGGAATGGAGAGAGGCGCAAATCCCGGCCTCCCCGCCAACAGATCTCAGCACGGGCTCCAGGTTCCCAGCTGCAGGTACGCAGACGCCGGAGACAAGCAGGCGCCGGCGCGCAGCCTGGCGCCCTGGGGCCCCGCACCCCCACCCGGCCCTCCCCCGCCGCCTAGGTTCTGGCTACTCACTGGCCGGGGGCGGGGAGAAGCGGGGGTTCTGCATCCACGGGGTCCTTTCGGGCTTCTCGGGGCTCTCGGCTTTGACGAGGGCATCTTCTGGCAGCTTGAGGAGTCCTCCCACCGAGAAATGGCCCAGCTGCCGCGGCGAGGACGGCGCGTCTGGGGCTCCCAACGACACCGGCCGGGCGCCCAGGGGCTGCGCGGAGCCGCCCGCCGCCTGTGTGCCCTCGGAAGCTGCCAGGGCGCTCTCCTTAGCCCCAGGCTTCCTGTGGTCGGCCATGAGCGCCTCCACGCTGAAGGGCAGGAGTGAAGGGGACACTTTGGGCTTAGCCCCCTCCTCGTCTGCGCCCATGGCGGCCGCCGTGGCTGCGGTGGTGCTGGAGGCCTGGCCCCCGCCTCCCCCCGCTGGCTTGCCGAAGGCGGAGTCCTCCACTTTGACACCGAGTGGCAAAGAAGTCATGTCAGCAGCCGGGGCCATGCAGAGCCGGCCCCCCCCTCCAGCCGCAGCACGGGCCAGCCGCCGGGCATGGGCTTCGGGCGGGCCGGGAGCGTGGCCGGCCTCTGAGAGCGCCCGGGGCCCCGGCCGGGCGGGCTTTCGCGCGCGCGTCTCCCGCCCCTCCCCAGAAGGCCAGCTCCGGCGCTCCGGCCTGGCGGTCCTCCGGCGCCGCGGCGCAGGCCGAGCTCCCGGGCGCACTAGCTGGCTGCGGGTCGGGCCGCCGATCCCCAGAGAACTTGTTAATAAGGCGAGGCCAGCGTGGCGCCGGCCAATCAGCGCGCGAGGGGGCGGGCCCGGCGCGAACCATTGGGCCGCGCTCCTGCGGACTCGCCCGCGGCGCGCTGGGCCTGGGGCGCGCGGGGCAGGGCCGGGTCCCCGGAGGGCAGAATTGGGGAGGGGGCGCCCGAGAAACTTTCCTCCGCGCTAAAGCCCTGGCCGCCTCTCTCTGTCCGGGTCCCCCTGGGTCTCTACTTTTCTGTGTCCCTAGGGGACTGTGCCCTGCTCTCGCCCCTTCTCTTCTGCCCTCCCCTCGTCTCCCCTGCCCTGAACGCCCCTCTTTCTCACTCTCCCTTTTTTCTCTACTCCTTTCCTGTTTCTCTTCTCCCGCTTCTCTTACCTTTCTCTTCAGTCAGTGGCTGCATTTGTTTCTCTCTGTCCCCTCCACTCTCTGCCTCCTCTCTTCTCCACCACGATCATTTGAATTGAGGTCATTTCTTACATATTCCTTTTATAGTTTAAAAAATCTGTGTAGTTATTCATTCTAGTAGAAATGCAGTATTAATTTCTTTTTAAAACACCTTCATTTTCTTCCTCTCTTTCAATCTTCGAAACTTAACCTTTGCGTGAAAGCGGGCCTCTGTTTCTAAGCGCTGGACTGAAGTTTGTCTAAAGAAGCCACGCTCCTGTGGTGCTATGCATGCTGCGAATAAGAACACATAATATGATGCGGAATCGGGCATCGATCTTCATATGTGATGTGTACTTTTCTCTCTGTGAACTTCTCTTGGGAGGATTACACCACCTACAGCGGCGACGGCCGGGAGAAGGAGCCGCCGGGTCCTTTTGATATAGAATTTATTAAAATAAAACCAACAGAAACGTCAACAAAACACTGATCTGGCCTTAACCTGACCTCAGCGCGTCTGCTGAAACAATAACACGTCCCTATC